TAGTCATTTGCTGATCCGCCAGTCTTATACTTGTCGGGAAATCAGTTTGTTTGTTTTTACCTGAAAATACCGTTCGTGCTAAAGTGTGTCTGCCAAACGCTCAGTCTTTAAAGGAGGCTTTACGAAAATAATAAACCATATACATCCAGTTATGTAAATCATAAATATATTTTAGACTCGTACTTAAACTTGTGTAAGATAAAGTTATGGATAAAGATATCCTGTAGCGGCTATATTGATACAGCACTGCTTTTGGTTAAAATGATTAAAATTATGAGTGTAAAAGCTTTAAGTTTGTGTTGGATTATCCACATTTTTGCTATTGTTTGTTGACTTTGTTACTCGAGGGATACCTACGCTAGCCGTCCCTAAGTTTGAAGTGATAGACTAGAGAAACAGCAGCTAGTCAACATCAACCACCGCCAACTCGTGGGCTATTCTGATCGAATAGTGGGATTTGACCATCCCTTTTATAACGCCCCCATAGGTCTGAGCATTATATTTATTTTAGGGGGAGGGGTTGCACTAAAAGGTCGCAACTCATGGATTCTCTGAGCTTCTCTTAGACAATACTTTTATAGCCCAGCATGACCAGGTGGTTAGGGCGCTCGCAATCTGAGAGTCGCGGGTTCGAATCCCCGTTCCACCAAACATGCTCGCCCTTTCAGCCGTGAGGGCGTTATAATGTGAGGTCAATCCCACTATTTGTTGGTAAAATAGTAGCCCAAGAGTTGGCGGTGGGTGGTGATGACTAGCTACCTTCCTTCTAGTCTTTCACTACTAAATTAGGAATGATTAGCGCAGATAGCCCTCGTGTAGCTTTGCGCGAAATTCAAAACAAACAAACAATACTTTTATGATAAAGAAAGTTGTTTATATTTTGTATTGACTGTGTTAATAATGTGATTTGTACTGAATCAACGACCACTCTTTTGAAAACAATTGACTCAGCATAACCTATGTTAGTGTTGAGTAAAATATAAGTTTTGAAAGGTCCAGAATAAAAAATGTTGTTAACATTTAGGGTACCACAAATAATGAAACAATTCATTAAACCCTAAGGTCTAGAATAAAAAATTTCATTAACAGTTAGGGTACCCAAATGATGAAACAATTCATT